TTTGGTCTCAGAAGACATTGAAGGTCTGAAAGTCTTCGATTTTAGTATGTTATACTGGAATTTCCCTGAACAAAGTATACACAGAAAATAAATAACCTATATATGGTAAAGCTCAACAGAGTAGATATGCATGACAAGCATGAATTTCATAAGCAATAAAACAGTAAAACAGCCCCTTAGAAGCAGCGCTAACATTTCTTATGGGAAACCTAATAGGAACAAATCTATATGAATGCAAGCATATGTTCTTGGGTACTTGACATCATGCAGTTAAAATATGCTCATGTATGTCTTAAGGATTTTTTCCATTGGAGACTTTTCTTTCAGCCTTACTAATGATTAGCAACATAACACAAAAAATATTCTTCCTTCCTGTCTTCCCCTGTCTCTGATCCTTTTCTGTTGTTTTATGATTTTGCTCTATTGAACAATGAATAATGTTTAGGAGATGCATCTGATTCTGTGGTTTAGACCCTACTCCAAGGAAGATGTTATAACACAACTTCATTTTAAAATTGTTCCTTTTTCTTGTTATTTTGAGGCATATCTTTCAATTCTGAACTGGGGCCTGGGACCTAGAGCTTTCTCGACTTTCTTAACAGCATAGATTTTTGTTCAATGAGAGGTCTCATACCTCTTTCATTTGCTTTCTATACAGTTTCAATGTCATTTTTAAAGGATGTTCCTTGGCGTAGGGGGCCCTGGTCACGAATCAGTTATGCTTTTAAAGAGCTGACATGTGTTAGACCAGACACACAATTTCATTGGCCAGAGAAGCCCCACAGAGCATCCTACCACATGCTTGATCACTCAGAATTCTCTTCTGCCCCAGAGACTATTGCCAGGCTCCTTTATGTCTGCTTAGCCCATTTCTCCCCATGTGCCAATCCACTTCGTTGAGAGACCCATATGTGTATTGGTATGTTTACTCATTTACATTTATTGTGGCAAAACAGACCACATATTGTCTAGATTGCAGGGACAGTGATATTGTCCATTGCCTTAGGTGGTATATAGAAGTCCACCAATATGCTGGTGTACTAATTGCTTCTTTACAAGCTCCTTGCATCAGACTGGCTTTACGGAAGAGCATAAACAGGCTGTAGTAGCATTATCTTCCCTCCGCTGATCTGGCTGCCTTAAACTCCCCTTCCCAGCCCTCTCTTAAACAATTTGAGATGCAAGATCCATGATCAGTAGGGCGTGCATTCAGGAATGGGCAGCATAATAAATCATTGGGTTAATAGACTTAGAAACTTTTCTGAAGCAAAAATTACATAAGCAAGTTAAAGGCTAAAGGCAAAAATTGTGACCGAATGTGAACTGTTGAGAAAATGACAGTGATTCTGGCAATGCAACACTCCTCATTCAGAAGAGCTGCTGTGTGGTCAAAGTGGGTTCCCTGAACAGCAAGCTGATTGCTGTTCACCAGTCTTTCTGGTTCCAGTCATGGAGGACCTCTGGAATGAAAATATATGTAAAACTTGGGGGGGGGGGGGGGGCGTGGCGGTTGTGTGTCTTTAATATTTTAACAACTTAATTCCTTCTTTCTTCCCTCTTTCTCTTTATTAGAGAAATGTAAAACTACCTGCACTAGCAGTATAATGAGGCCAAAATGTTACAGCAATGTTTTCGTTGGGAGTATTTTTATCCTCACCAAGATGTAGAAAACCTTCAGATATCTAGTATGGATTCTATCACTGCACTTTTGCAAAACTCAAATATCTTGAAAGCCCAGGAGTGGAAAAATTCATGTGTGTATGTCTTGGTGTTATTCAGACCATGACAATACTCTTCTTCCTTACTTGCTCCGAGTTACATTCACAACAGAGCAGTGAGATAAGCAGTCTTAATTCTCACTGATTTACACTGAAATTGTGATAAACCAGTGCTCTCCACCATAAGGTACAAAAGTTTCACTTTTTAAATTCTGTTTTTTCAGGAAAGATTCCAGGATTAATTTGGATGATGTGATAGTGTAGCTAATTAGAAAGTTCTAAACTCAACACGATGAAATAAGTACTGTTTTATACTGAGACTAAAAATGCTATCAAGGAATACACCTTTTTATGGGGGGTATACTGCTGTCTTCAGGACACAAAGTAAATGTTTTCATCATTGGGCTTTGTGGATTAAATTGTCCTTAGTAGCAGTTGAATTTATGGATATTAAATCATGCAAACAGGAGAAAGCTCTTGTTCCTTAAAGGAAATAGAAAGCTATTGAATACACAACAAAGTGATTCCTCAACTGAATTAAAAATATTGAGCTTATGTAAAAAAATTATCACATAAAAAAAAATCTTTGATGCTGCATAGAAGATTTTGTACAAAAATATTCTGCATTGTACTGAATCATCAATAGGAATGCTTTCTTTGTTTTCAGTAGATGGGGAATGTAGTGGATGATAATAATTTATGTAAAAAATGCAATACTCTTATTTCAGTATGACAAAAGAAAAGAAACAAATTCTAATAAGACTGATTCAGGAGGGAATTCTGCTACAAAGAGGTGAAGAAAAAAGCAACAAAACCCCCAAACTTCTTTTCTTTTCAGTAGTCAGTCTATATAGACAATGATGCTCACTTCTGAGGAGTATTTTTATTATAATCACACATTTTATGCTAATAGTTTAGAAAAGTCTCTCTGGGTATTTAATATAAACAGGAATAAAAGAGAATGTGCCTAGACTGAGGACACATTAGTTTCATTGCTGATGGAATTTATTTGGAAGTATTAAACTTAAGATGGAAGGCAATTAGGTCTGCCTGGGAACTTCTCTGGCAGTGTCCCTTTTACTGTAGGGCATCCCAGGCACCATGTCAAGCAGTGATCCAAGGACCCTGAACTGCTGTAACTGCAAGAAAGAAACTTGGTGAGACCCAAATTTAGGTGACTGTTCATTTTCCTTTGCTTGTGTAGAATTGCAAGTACGAATACAGTCTACTTTAATTTTCTGGGTAAAAAAAATTGCAGTTTTATATTAAGTCGCTGAACAAAGGAGTGAATAACAAGATGTTACAGTGTTATGAACTCCAACTATGATCTGAGCAAGGAAACATTAACAGTTGCTTGTGATAAACAGTAGACAATACTCTCATATCAGTATCAACGCTGAACAACAGATGGCAAGCAGGTGGGTGGGACTGGTGTTTCTCCATTGTCCAATATTACAACCCCGAAGTTTGTTTACCAAACTGAAAAATCATGTGATAATAATTTAGAAATTTTTAGACTTGATTTCAAGTAGGGTAAAACAAAATTTTCAAGTAAAATTAAATTATTTTATTTGACTGGGTAAGAAGTCTTTTAACATCAAATTATTTATTTTTTACTTAAAATATTACCAAAATGTTTTCTTAAAAATAAAGTTTTTTTCTTTACCACCAGAGTCTACTTAGTTGTATAGTGGACATTACAACCCGGTCTATTCTAGACTTGAAAAATATTTCGGTCAGTCTAAACTGAGAGGGGAAGGATTTTTGGCTGAAAAATTTCACTTTGAGGTTAAAGATGAATATACCTAGCTTTAAGACTGTGAGGTTCACCCTATGCTCAATGCTGACACACTTAGTTTACGGAGTAACTGTGCTTCAGCCAGCCCACAGAAACTGTTGGTAGTTATACAGGCTGTCTTGGAAATATGCATGGATGGTAAAGCAGTGACCTAAAAATTTTAGCATGTTCAGATATTTTTTCCATACTAATCTTATTTTTTAAAAAACTGAATCTAATTTACTTTCAGAAAGGCGGGATGACTCACATTAATTTAATCTCTTTCTTTTACCTGAAAATATGCAATGGCACTAATCAGCAGCACTGTGGTGATTTACATCATCAACATTATGGTAAGATTAGTAGAAGGAAGGGAGAAAACGAAAGAAATCAAAAGCAATTCTAAATCATGAAAGCAGATAAAAAATCTTCTAATAGGTCTGTAAAGACAGTTCCCATTATTATTATTATTATTGTTATTAAAACAAATCAGTTAAGTTGATATTGATGCATTGATGATTTAACGTGTGTGTTAAGGTCAAGAAAATTTTTCATCCTTTTTGCTTATTCAAGACATTATTGAAAGTGAGTCGATACTAAAGTTGAGGAAGGATTTCTTTTCTGATGCAGATTCACGTTCATGAGGGACATGCAAGCAATGCTTTTCACAGAAGCTACGGCAGAGCCACTGCTGGTGTTTTTATGGGTTTCTGCCCAGGATGAGGTTAGAGAAGCATATGCCATATATCATATGTTTATATGATCTATAAAGTGTCTGGGCATTGATTGTGAAACCTTTTTACCTACTGAAATAATAATGTGTGTGTAATGTAGTCTAATTTTATAAGGACTACTTATTGCTCATAGGAATAAACTTGGACTCCCCCTTTTTTACTATTTTAAAACATTTTTTAACATGCTGTAATGTGTTTATACATTACACTGTACGTATATGCTTTGGTATTAATTTGAAATACTCTTCATGTACATAAAATGAAAGGAATAGGAGGTAAGGAAAAGAATCATAGAATAGTTTGTGTTGGAAGGGACCTTTAAAAGCCATATAGTCAAACGCCCCTGCAATGATCAGGGACACCTTCAACTAGATCAGCCTTCTCAGAGCCCCATCTAACCTGACCTTGCATGTTTCCAGGGATGGGCCATCTTCCACCTCTCCGGGCAACCAGTGCCAGTGTTTCACCACATTCATTGTAAATCTACTGTCTTTTAGTTTAAAACCATTACCCCTTGTCTTATTGCAACAGGCTCTGCTAGCAAGTTTGTCCTCATCTTTCATATACGCCTCCTTTAAGTACTGGAAGGCTGCTACGAGGTCTCCTCGGAGCCTTCTCTTCTCCAGACTGAACAGCCCCAACTCTCAGCCTTTCCTCACAGGAGAGGTTCTTCATCGCTCAGTTCGTTTTTGTGGCCCTCTGCTGGACCTGCTCGAGCAGTTCCATGTCTGTCTTGTGTTGAGGGCTCCAGAGTTACACTCAGGACACCAGATGAGATCTCACCAGAGCAGAGCAGAGGGGCAGAATTACTTCTGTCGACCCCCTGACCACGCTACTTTTGATGCGGCCCAGCATATTGTTGGCTTTCTGGGCTGTGAGTGCACATTGGTGATTCACGTCCACCTTTTCATCCACCAGAAACCCCAAGTCCTTCTCAGCAGAGTTGCTCTCAATCTCTTAATTCTCCAGCCTGTATTGATACTGTGGGTTGCCCTGACGCAGGTGCAGGACGCTGTACTTGCTAAATGTGATGAAGTTCACACAGGCCCATTTCTTGAGCTTGTCCGGGTCCCACTGGATGGCATCCCTTCCCCCAGGCGTGTCAACCTCACCACTCAGCTTGCTGTCATCTGCATACTCGCTGAGGGTGCACACAATCCTGATGTCTATGTCATTGATGAAGATATTAAATGGTACTTGTTCCACTATGGACCCCGAGGGACACCACTTGTCACTGATGTCCATCTGGACATTGAGCCATTGACCACTACCCTCTGGATGTGACCATCCAACCAATTCCTCATCCACCGAATGGTGCACCCATCAAATCCATATCTCCCCAATTTAGAGAGAAGGATGTTGTGGGGGACCATGTCAAAGGCCTTACAGAAATTCAGATCTCAGCCCACATTCTGGCTTAAGATCTTTGTACCATAGAACTTAACAGGAATTGTTATTATGCTACTAAACAGAGTAACAATAAATTCATAATTGCTGCTTTGTTTGTCTTCATGTTTTTATGCTGTACTTGTGACTGAGAACTGCTGTTTTGGTTTACTTTCAGTGTTAGTTATATTACAGGAGTTATGCAAGAGAGAAAGGACAAAAAAAATAGAAGCAAAATTTTCTGTAGCTGATGCTGCAGTTTTGGGACAATAGGGATCTGCAATTCCCTTTCCCACCCCACAGATTAATTAAAATCCTAGAATTCTATAAGACTTAAGTTTTAAAATTAGATTAATAATTTGGAGATTTGTTATGACCTTCACCTAAGTGATTCGTATTTATTTCTCTTTCTTTTGATGCAGTTATTTCTGGCTGTACAAATGCCAGGCAGCTTAACTTCTCTGGTAGTGGCTATGTCTACATCAGCAAGTCTGACAGAGGAGAATCAGATCAGCAGATCAAAGTACCTGGTGCTGAGGCCTCTACCACCATTCTGTGTACTGTTCTGGAGGTTTATTTTGAACTGAATTTGGTCTGGTTCCTTGATTCAAAGGTCCTTACCACACATGCCGCTTGAAGTCATCTTAAGCACTGATCTCTGATTAGGACGCTTATGAACCTGTTACTTGTTAGATTGCGTTTGTTGCATACTTGGCATGGAGTATTCTCTTCAGTTTTCTCCAAAAGGTATCTAGTTTACATAAATTAAAACTACCCTGTGAACCGAGCTAATGCATTGTAAGGGGGGATATGATCAGAAAATTCAGTTCAAAACTACAATGCTCTGAATCAAAGTGCTAATGTAGATCCAGTCCTTGAGTTTCGTAGATTTGTTTAGTTCAGATTTAGGAGGGATGTTTATGTTGGCCACTAATGTGAATGAAGTTAGGCAATTTACTCCAGTATTTTCTGCAAGCTCCAAATTTCTGTTTTGAGTCCATACACTCATAGGATCATTCCAGCTGGAAGGGAGCACAAGAGGTCTCCAGTTCAACCTCCCATTTGCAACAGAGCCAGCTCTGAGATCAGACATGGTTGCCTGGGTCTTTGTTCAGTCAGGTCTTGAAAACCTCTATGGATGGAGACAGCACAGTCTCTCTGGGAAGCCTGTTCCACTCCTAGACTGTCCTCATGCTGAGAAAGTTTTTCCTTATATCCAGCCTGAATGTCTTGTATTTCAATTTATATCCACCGTTTCTTGTTTCCTTGCTTTGCACTGCTGTGAGCAGCCTGACTCTATCTTCTCAACAACTTCCCTGTAGGCACTAAGCGGCTGCTCTTAGAAGTCCCTGAAGCCATCCCTCCTCCATGCTGAAACCAGCCCTGGTCCTTCAACCTCTCCTACCAGAGCAAGTGCTCCAGCCCCCCCATCTTGGGGACCCTCTCATAGAGAGTTTCAATACCAAATTTTTATCTCTATTTTGACAGAAATTTACTGACTTTGAGTGCTGCTGTAATCTAAACAACTTTCCCTCTAAGCTCTGAAGAGGCTGTGAAGGTACCATACGAAACTTTTCATCTGAAGTGTGTAGTGCAAAGCTTATAAAGTAAGTAACTAAAAGGAAGAGTGAAAAGTGGTGTGGTTGCACCCATCCAGCAATGGAAAGCTTGTACAATAGCTTTTTTTTCACAGTAGTTGTAATGTCTATCATCTGCAACTGATGTCAATGTCAAGCATACTGTTTCGTGTCAAATATCAAGCCTTGGTGAAGTGCTGTTACTGCAGTTGCCTTCAACTGGTGAGGTGCATATTTGTCCACATCTTGAATAGCACCTTTCCATTCTCTTCTTCCAAAAATAGAGTTAAAGATTTCATGTTTCGGACCAGTTCTTAATATAATATAGCTCTCTGTAGGTGAAAGAAACTTTAGTACTTTTTTGGAGTAAACGCACAGTTTAAACACCAGTAGCTGGAAGGCACAAAAGTTTCGATTGCCCACACTAATAATTTGTTGTTGATCTGAAACTTATGGTGAAAATTTCTACAACATAATTTTACAGATATAGCAACTAGAAGGTTTCTAATGAGAATAAGAAAATGATAAACAAGATAAAAGTAGACACAATATAACATTTTTTTTTTTTAATATTTGTCTGATATTATTGAGAAGAGTTTTCTGAGCTAAATACTGGATACTATAATAATTTGAAGTAAAAGTTACATATAGGAACTCTACACATATATATTGCAGTGAGGAAATACACATGATTGATAAGCAGGATAGAGTTTTGTTCTCCCACACAGCAGTGTTTAATGTATACTTAAATTTATGCAAGACAATCTCATCATATTTGCATCGGATGGCCCTGGTTTTATTACGTCAGGGCTTAAAAGCATGAAAAGCAAATTCCAGTCAGCTGAGTTCTGGTTTGTTACCTGTGACTTGGCTTCTGACACGAGCAGTGGCTGTCTCCCTGTCTCTCCGAGCCTTGCAATCTTCATCTACTTGATGGACTTTGAGATGTCTTCTTACTTCAGTGGATGTTGTAATCTGCTTTGATATCCATAAAGTTGGTGGACTTAATCTTGTTGAAAGCCGTTGAATTCGTTAGGTAGATACTCTTCTATACATCTATTCTTGTACACATGGATTAGCATCATTAGGCTCATGAAATGTGTTTTTAAAAACAACAAAAATCCTCTAATCACCTTAGCTTCGTAATGAGAACTGAGCAAGACAGAAATGCTACTCAGGAAATATTGATCTGAACAATATTTTTTTCCCATGCAGAAATGAAGACACTTGGAAAGAAAAGGAAGGACAATCTGAAGAGATGATGACTGAGTGTCCCAGAAATCAGGTATTTTGTAACAAAGCCTATATAAAAGCAGGGCATATGGTTCTCATAGTCTCTCATAGTACAAATGAGAGTTGTTCAAGGAAAGAGTTATGGATAGAACTGAATTATCCATGCATACTCTGCAGTTGACAGATAATTTACTTAAAATTCTGACTTTTAAACCAAATGATTGCTATTTCAATTACCATTAGATTAAGTATCCTTACAGGAAACTGAACTATGAGAAGTAACACCTCGTATAAATACTTAGATGGCATCTTGTTCAATACATGTCTACAACTGAAATTCATTATTCACATTATGGGTTTGTAATATAGAAGTACACAACTTTTTAATATTAACATAGAATTCAGTTCTTGCATGCTCTGGTAGCAGTAGAGTCTGTGTATAAGGTCATGTCCTCCTAACAGCTAATTAACAATGTATGTTAAAAAAGGGCACCTAGAATTTATAATTTACAAAGTACGAAAAAGCAGACATAAACATTAACACCAGGATTTGTTAATGTAGACAGTGTCATTTGTGCCAGTATATGAAACCATAGAGAGAGTGTGTGACCTGAAGTTTTACTTTCTAGCTTAACTCCATACCAGTGTGCATCACTTTTAAAGACAGCATTTTAAAACGTGATCAGTGTCTCTAATTCTGTATGCATAAGCACTTATACATGGTACTTCTGTAATCCATGAGAGGGGAAAACCGATTTCTAGGATTTATGCACATATACTACCTGGGTGTGTTTAGAATTAATGACCAGAGTGACAGTGTATTTTTCAACCCTATATGAGACATTTGTGCAAGCACAGATAGTGGCAAAAGGGAGGCCAGTATGAAGACACAATTCTAAATGGATCAAGCTGATGATGTTGAATGCCACTGATAACACTATATGTTTTTGAAAGTTTTACAGTCTTTATTTCTAATGACACATTAAGGACCTACTTACTGTTTTCCAGCTTCCAGATTTATTCTGAATACATATTTAAAGGCTACTCAACCTTAACTTTTATTGTGTGGGCACAGATTTATGCCCCATGAAATACTTAGCTGTTTAGTTTTGGCATCTATATGTCTTGTTTATTTGTTGAATGTGTATGAATATGATCCTTTTTGTTTATAGCTTACCCTTGCCTCATCGCAGGCATGTCAAGCAGCCACGTGTTTCAAAGGCTGCTGTTGGCAGGAAGGGCAAGGTAATTTCAGCCTGAAGCAAAGAATACTAGATGAGAAAGAGTGGATGAAATAAACTCTGTGTTGTGATACGAGAGAAATAACCTACCATTTGTAACATTTACTTGGAGGAATTTAGAAACTACCAGGGAAGAAGATTAGAGAGCTTAGGAAGTATTAGAAGTCTGAGAAAAGATGTAAGAGGATGGACAATAGACCTCAGGTAGAATACGTCTATATCGTATATTCTAGGAAGACAAGCTTACATGGTACTTCATACAGATATGACGCATGCCCTAATCAGATGCAAGGTTTATCTGCTTGTATTCCAAGTCAGTTGAAAGCTCGTTTTTAGCACTGGATTAAACTGACCATGTTGCTTCCCAACTGGAGCTAGCTCTGATATGTCCTAAGGCACCAGTTTTATTAGCACATTTTTTGGGATAGCAAACTAGGAGTGACTTATGTTTTCGCTTAAAGCCAGCAATAATGAAATGCTTGATTATTTCCAATTCTTAAACTGTGATCATTCAAATATTTTGTAGAGCATTTCACTAATATTATGTATGTTGGTCTCACTGATGGGGAGACTTCATTGCCTAGCCCTGGTGTATTTATTTGAGAAAAGTTAGCACGGCTTCTGACAAGATTTTAAGGATGTAAAGAAAGAGGAAAAATAGGCAAGTAGACCATTTCCTTGTTTATTAAGCAAGCGGTGTATTTTCTGTGGGATGGTTTCATCTGGAATCACTCTGATAAGGATGCAAAGCTGCTATGTTTTTTGTCATTAACACAATGTAAAATTTTCAAGTGTTCATTTCAGACTGGCAGACAGGCAGTGAGGCTTCTGGCTTACATATTTGGCTGTGCTACCGATCTTTTCTATGAAATGCAACAAGAGGCTTGATATCCCTGTCCCTCTCCCAGCAAAATGAGGAAACCAGTACCCTGTATCACTTGGGGGTGTTTAGAAATTGCTTTTTTAGTGTATTTGACCTAGCGGTTAAAAGAAAAGTGTGGATACAGAAAAGCCTAGTTACACTAGAGCAGTCAAGCAGCAGTCATTGTGGTTATCATTTTTAGCTACGTTAGTCCAGGAATCTGGGAAAGTTCCTCGTGCCTGGAAGTGGCATGAAGCTACCTGGCAGCAGCTCATGTGCTTTGACTTGCTTCTGCTGACAAGTTCACAGTTGTCTGACAAATTAAAGAGGCTTTTTGGTAAAATGTGAGTTTTGCTTTTCCCACTGAAATGGTGGGCAGCAGCTGGGAGATGCAGCCATCCCCACAGGTCTCGGGAACCAAGCGTGGAGTGCCCACATGTGGAGCCTTCCCATTAGCCTGCAAACCACTTTTACATGTACCAACATGATAAAAGATGTATTTCCTCACAGGCCTCTCTTAGCTGCTGGGGTGGGTAAGAGATATGCGGGATTCCTGTCCCTCCTTCCTGTTCATGGGAAATCACCACATAATGTGTTTCACATGAGGGCCACCAGTCTCACTCTTACTGAGTACAACTTAATTTTGGCTCCAGGTTCAAACAGGTTACTGATTTCAGATTAGCAAATGCAAGACAAAACTAAACATAATATCTGTGTGAGAGCGCCTTTTTTTCCTCCAAAAACTGCAAGAACTGTAATGGGATTTGCTTTCCAGGCAGGCACTTCGTATTGATTATAAACCTGAAACCACAAAAAAACTATAAACTGTCAAACAAGAGAAAAACTAATAAGGAAATGAAAGCACACACACACATTCAACAACAATTTCTACTTAAAAAAATCTTCATATCTTAAATGCAAGTATTTTACAGCTACTAAATTTATAAGCGTATTTTAATTTATCAGCGTGACCTGGATAGGCTGGAAAGCTGGGCAGAGAGGAACCTGATGAGGTTCAACAAAGGCAAATGCAGGGTCCTGCACCTGGGGAGGAACAACCTCATGCACCAGTACAGGCTTGGGACGGACCTGCTGGAGTGCAGCTCTGCGAAGAGGGACCTGGGTGTCCTGGTGGACGACAGGTTAACCATGCGCCAGCAGTGTGC